TGAGATAAAACGCCCGAAAACACCCAGGGCTGTCAAATTTGTTACCAGATACAATCACCTACGGCAAGCGTACTCGATCACATAAATTTGGCCGTTTATAAATTTATCGAGTCTCAAGGGTCTAATATCCCGTCTAACACCGTAAATGCCTACAAAGCCAGTCACGATATCGATGAATTGAACAAGATCGAATATGTAGTTAAACTGCCTTATACGGCTAAAAAACAAATGTACGTTAAAATAGATCCCTTTGCTTCGCTATTTGATCACAAAAAAGATCTATCGACTCGTCAAATATCGATAAATTTATCAATAAGAGATGCGACGCGCAATCATTTATTTGTGCAAAAGACGTACACTACGGTACCCACGGTTCACTGTCTTGCGGAGCCAGTGTCAGGTATAGAGTGGCAGTGGCAATGTTGAAAATTAGAAATGATGGTCTAATTTCGATTAAGTCGGCGTTGCAAGCGTTTAGCGGATTTGAATTAAAAGACGATTAAATTTGAAAAATCAATTTAACCTCGGTTATATCAACCGGAGTGAATTTTTTTTTTAATTTAAATAAATAAACCCTTATATAAAATGATTGATGCGGAACTTTGCCACTTGTTGAATAGAAAGGAAGTACACATAATTGGAGCAACGAGAAATGTACAACCGAGGCCGCCTTGTAACCACCGAATAGTTGAAATGGACGAAAGATATGCGTGTAAACATTGCGGTCAAATTTTTGGGTGGGTTTCTTCGTTCGGAGCCGCAGACGTGGGAGATCGGTACTTTAATCATCACGTTTGGAAAAAACCCAAGCCGCCAAAATCGAGAAAAACGTTGCAGAAGTATAATCTGTCTTTTAAAAACGGCGAAGCGGGTGAAATAGAATATAAGTTGAACCAAGTTTTAAACGGTAAGATCTCTCGAGGTAAACCGTTGAAGGCTTTAATCGCGGTGTGTTATCAAGACACAACTGGGGAAACCGAATCTAAAGTGAAGGACCTTTTTCAAGTCTCGGATAAGCACTGGAAAAACGCTATGCAGAAGTTTAACCTCGCCAAACAAGACGTATAAAACGTATATAATAAAATGGAGACTCACACTTTTCACTTGACCGAAAACCCGCAGACGTTTAGATTGAAAAACGAGATCAACAACACCAAAGGCGACAAAGTCGTCCGAGTAAAGAATATTCAGTTTGAAGCTGGATATTTTAACGTAACAAACGCCACTGAAATTGAGTGGGATACAAACTTGGACGGTAGGCCAGCGGGGGTACTTGGCGAACGAACGCCCGGTATACCCTCAGTGCAAAGAACGGACTCATCTCTCAATCCA